TGAAATTAATAAGAAATTTTCATTCAAGAATTAATTACTCTAAAGAAATAAAGCACGTTTTGTTGGAAAAAAATAAATACTATTTAAAATGTGAGAAAAAATCAAAGTTTTTGAATAGTAATATTATAAGAGAGTTTTCAAGATATTCTAATAAAGGAAAAGATGAAAAAGGAAGGAATATATTATTACTTATAAAAAAGGAATCAATGAAAAATTACATAACCAATTTAAATAATAAAATCCAAAGTATTATTATAAAAGAAAGAAATATTCAAAAATTTATTAATAAGTTATATTATAAATTACACATAAAATATATGTTTTTAAAAAATAAATATCAAAATGAAATTTCCAAATATAAAAACATATCTTCTAATATTTCTATGATTCATTTGATTAAAAATGATAAAAAGATTAAACAATTACTAAATAAATTATTAATACAAAAGAAATATATTTTAAATAATATATACTATTATTATAAAAATTTTAATAAATCTTATTATAAAAGTTTAATTTTACATCATTATAATAAGTCACCTATTACATATTCTCTGATGATATTACATTTTTTAGTTTTTTTATTATGGTTAAAATCAAAACCAGCAAATAGTTATGATTATTTTAGAAAACAATATTTGTCTTCATATAGGCTGACTTCAGATTTCATGTATAAATATTTTTGTTGTAGTTTGCAAAGTTTAAAAGAAAAAAAATTATTTACTTTAATAACTTCATTAATAAGTCATAACACTATTCAGTCTTTTTTATTAAATACTATATCTTTATATTATATAGGAACTGCTTTAGAAATGTTAATAAATTCTAGAAATTTTATCATCACATATATAATGAGTGGAATTATATCTACATATATTCAACTTTTATATCATAAAAATAATTATAATAATATTTATGTATTTGGTGCAAGTGGTAGTATAAGCTCAATCTTAATGACATATACTTTTTTATACCCAAAACAAAACATCTATTTATATGGAATTATTGCATTACCATTAGTATAAATATAAAATATTCTTAATTATTTATATATATATATATATATTAAGCATATATTATTTTTTATGTTATTTTTTATTTTTTTTTTTTTTTAGGCTTTATTTTCAGGATTATATTTTTTAAATGAATTTTACTGTGTATTAACTGGAAAAGAAGATAATACAGGTTAATTTATATTTTTATTTTTTAGTTGATTGTATATTTTAAAGAATCTTAATTTTATTTTAATTCATTAATTATACAGAAATAATCTCTTTATTATTATTTATTTTATATAAATTTATTTTACATAATTTTATATTCTTATAAGTCATTTAATTTTTGATTATAGAATCATTTACATTTAATTATAAAATATTTATGTTAAATTTTTTTTTTAATTATCGTGTATTCTGTTAATAGGCCACATTGCTCATTTAACTGGAATGGGTTTAGGTATACTTTATTATTATTATATTAAAAGAAGAATGTTTTTATAAATTTTTCGGATTTTTTTAAAAAAAGGAATAATTTGATTAAAATTTAATTTTATATATATATATATATATAACTTATTTACACAAAATTACATAAAAAATTTTCTTCCATAATTTCATTGAACGATGAAAATATTTATACAAATATTTTTAAAAAAATAATAAAAAAAAAAAATATTAAAAATGATATAATTAAAAAAGAAAAAAAGAATTTTATTTTATATATCAATTATATATAAATATATATTTATTTGTTTTTTTTTTTTTTTTTTTTTTTTTTTTTTATAATATACAAATATATGAGCTTTGCACACTAATATATAATAATACATCGGGTTATTACAATTTTTCATAAAAAGTAAAAAAATACTCTTGTCATTTTACTTGATATATATATTTATTCATTAAAATTTTCTTGTATATCTGTTTTTTGTATTTATATATTTTATTTTTTTAATAATATAGCTCGTAGTTTTATATTTTTTTCTCTTTTTTTATTTTTAAATGCAAAATTTTTACTAATTTAAAACTGAACTATGCCTCATTTTTTATTTTTTTTTTCACGTGTTATTGTAAAAAGCAGAAATAAAAAAAAAAAAAAAAAAATTATATTGTAAAATATTATAAAACTATATTTTAAATTAAGTATTTTTAGAAGTTTTTTTTAATAAATTTTTTTTTAATATATTCATAAATTTATACATATAAATATACTTATATGCATAACCTATACAAGAAAAAAAATATTTTTATATATAAAATTTTTTTTTTTTTTATTGGTAAAAGTATTTTATAAAATGATTTAAATTAAATTAAATTGGAATATTATTTTTTACAAATTCATGATTTATGTATTTCCCTTTTTTTTTTTTTTATATAATCCTTATTTTATATAAAATTTTGTTTTCATCTAAGTGAAAATGAGTTTGAAGAGATCTTTAAATCATTCAGAAATAGATGAAAAAGAAAAAAAAAAAATTAATACAAAAAAAAATGATGAAAAAAATATTGAACTAGAAACATATAACGAAAAAGAAGAAAAGGAAAATGATAAAATAAATTATATAAAATATAACAATATCATAAATATATCAAATTCTTGTTCAAATAATGCTATTATTTCTGATAATTTAAATAATGAATTAATTTTAAATGATGTAAATGGAAACTATGATGATTATAAAAAATCTTTACAAAACAAAGAAAAGAAAAATACATGTGACGATAATAGATATCTTACATATGGTAAAAATGAAAATAATAAAATAAATGACTATACAGAAAAGAAATATGAAAGTGAATTGAAAAAACAAGAGAAAAATCATAGTTTGAAACAAATGGAGTTACATGATAAAAATCTTAATGAAGAAGATGAAAAAATATATGAAGATGCTAATATAAATGTTGAAAAAAAAAAAAAAAAAGTCATAAACGAAGAACAAAATTTAAAAATTGAAAATTCTTCAAATAATAAAGAAGAAAACAAAAATGAAAATCCTTCAAACAGTAAAGAAGAAATAAAAGATGAAAATTCTTCAAACAATAAAGAAGAGATTAAAAATGAAAATCCCTTAAATAATAAAGAAGAAATAAAAGATGATGAAAATTCTTCAAACAATAAAGAAGAGATTAAAAATGAAAATCCTTCAAATGTTAATGAAGAAATAAAAGATGAAAATCCTTCAAATGATAAAGAAGAAATAAAAGATGAAAATTCTTCAAATGATAAAGAAGAAATAAAAGGTGAAAATTCTTCAAATGATAAAGAAGAAATTAAAAATGAAAACTCTTCAAATGATAAAGAAGAAATTAAAAATGAAACTTCTTCAAATGATAAAGAAGAAATTAAAAATGAAAATTCTTCAAATGATAAGGAAGAAATAAAAGATGAAAATTCTTCAAATGATAAGGAAAAGGTTAATAATAAGAATATTTCATCTGATTATGGAAAGGATAAGGTAGATTATATACATAATTATCAAAATTCTTATTATAACATGTATAATATGAATTCAGAGAATTACATGAATTACCCCTATTATTATAATCAATATTATAACGTAGTTCAATCTAATCCATTTAATAATGATATTAATAAAGAAAATTCTTATAATATTAATGAATTACAAAAAAATAAAAAGGAAAATTTAATTCAAAGAAACAATTTTGAAAATGAATTTAATATGGATGATAACAACACATCAAATTTAATGAGAAATATTTCTAATGTTTATGTAAATAATCCAATAAATAATTCATTGAATAATCAAATTGATTATACTTCAAATAATCAGATGAATAATTCAATGAATAACTATTATAGTATGTATAATTATAATTATATGAATAATATGAATAATATGAATTATAATTATTACTATGGTTTGTATGATAAAGGTTACGATTACAATAAAAATATAGAAAATAATATGAAAAGCTATGATTATTGTTCTTTAATTGATAAAAGTATAGAATTAATGAAAAAAAGTGATAAAGTAAAGGAAATATTAAAAACTCCAGCAAGGTTACAAATTACACAAGACGAATTAAATAAAATTGAATATACAGAAGGAAATGAACAATATAATATATGGTTTGGTAAATATGTAACAGATAGATTTGATAAAAGTTCCAAAAATACTCCTCGTTTTGTTGCAAAATATAAATGCAATCCAATAAAAGATTCAGGTTATACTAAAGCTGATAAAGTTTATAATAGCAAGCAATATTTCTGTATTTATTTTGCAAGGGGTTGTTGTGCATATGGTCATAATTGTTTATATAAACACAGAATTCCGAATGAAAATGATGAAATAGAATTTGAAGCATCTATTGATATATTTGGAAGGGAAAAATTTAATACTTTTAAAGATGATATGACAGGTGTAGGTAATTTTAATAATGATTGTAGAACCTTATTTATTGGAAGTATTTATATAAATAATTTAAATGAAGTTTCTTTAATTGAAAAAATATTATATGATGAATTTATTAATTTTGGGAATATTGATTATGTTAGATTTATTCCAAATAAAAATATTGCTTTTATTCAATTTACTAATAGAGTTAATGCAGAATTTGCAAAAGTAGCTATGTCCGATCAACCTATAGAAAATCACTCAACCGCACTAACAATAAAATGGGCATTTGAATTAAAAAACCAACCACATCATTTAATTCAATATTATAATAATCCATATATTTATAATCAAAATCAAATTATTTCTTCAACTTGGGAAAATTATATTATGCAACAGCAGTACAATAATGTAATGTTTAATGATTATAATAATATAAATAATAATAGTAATGCTGCCTTTACAGCTCATTATAAAAAAATTAATGATAGATGTAATAATTTAAATAATAGTTTAAATAAAATAGATCAAATGTTTGATATGCAAAATAAAGATAACAAAGATGATTCATTTTCAGTTTACATGTAAAATGAAGTAAAAAAGGAGAGAAACAAAATATAATGAATTAGAATAAAAAAAAAAAAAG